GTCGTGGGGCCTGAACTCTGGGCCTGGGCACTGTCCCTCAGCTCTTCAGCTCAAGGCTAGCACTCTACCACTTGAGCCACAGCACCACTTCTGCCTTTTTTTTTCTTTTTGCTTATGTGGTGCTGAGGAGTCGAACCCAGGGCCTCAGTCATGCAAGGCAAGCGCTCTACCACTGAGCCACCTTCCCAGCCCCAGTCTATGAGACTCTTTATCTTCAACTAACTACCAAAAAGCCAGTGGAGTTATGATTCAAGTGGTAGAGCACCAGCCTTGAGCAGAAAGGCCAAAGCAAAAGTGTGAGGCTCTGATATCAGGTCCTAGTACTGGCGCATGCACGCGTGTGCACACACACACACACACACACAGAGTTAACAGAAATGTATAATTACAAACGTTTATAACAGAATACAGGACAGAGAGGGGAAGTTCCAAGCAGAAGAAACAACAAAGGTCCTGAAATAATGATGAGAATGAATGTAGAATACATGGGAGAAAGCACTAAGAGGTTTTGCAGACAACGGTGGCACCTGCACAGCTTTTGGGATTCAGTTTTGTTCTTTATTTCAGAGACAACAGGGAGCCAATGCTGTGGACATCAGACAGGATGTCCATTGGGTAAAGAGCAGTGAACTCTGCTAGCCTGGGTGGGTCACCTTGGAACTGGACCTGACTGCCTGCAATGTGTAGCCTCAAGCTTAAGTGGACCTACCTTCCATTTAGGTGCTGTGTACATTGCTGGAGTCAGATATTAGCTGCTGTTTTTGTTGGGTTCATATTTTATCATATCTTGTGAACAGAAGAATAGCTTCCTGCATGTAGGCCTTGTAGCCAAATTGGAGAAGACCGGACACGTGGGCAAAAAGCCCAATCTCTAAAAGCCTGACAGGTCTAGATGGCATAGGGGGCAGAAGATCTTAAAGACTGGATTTAGAAGGGGAAGGAATGTAGAACAGGACAGGAAACCAGGCTGAACAAAGACTTGATGGACATTAAGATGATGAGACAGGTAGGGAGATACTAGCAAGGTCTTCCTGGGAAGAGGGTCATGTTGAACAGCTATGACAATTTGATAAACTGAGGAGTTTGAATATCGATTTTACAAGGTGTGGATCGGTATTGATTTTTTTTTTTTTTTTTTGGTGCTGGCATTGGGGCTTGAACTCAGGGTCTAACTGCTGTCCCTTAGCCTTTTTTTGTTCCAGGTTGCTGCTTTACATTTCTGTCATAGCTCCATTTCTTGCTTTTTTTGGTGGGTAATTGGAGTTAGGAGTCTTTCCTTCCCCGGCTGGCTTTGAAATGTGATCTTCAGTAGCTAGGATCATAGGCGTGAGCCACAGGCGCGCCCGGCTTAGTGCTGATTTTTGAACAAAGCAGTATCTGGATAAAAGTAGTCTTTTGTTAGAATTTAGTTGATGGCTTAGCATTGTTGGCTGAAGCCTGTAATTGTAGTTGCTCAAGAGGCTGAGGTCTGAGGATCATGGTTCAAAGCCAAGCTGGGTAGGAAAGTCTGTGAGACTCATATCCAATAAATTAGCCCTCCCTCCCCAATGAAAAAGCCAGAAGTGGTGCTGTGGCTCAAATGATAGAGCACTAGCCTTGAGCAAATGAAACTCAGGGAAAGAATCCAGGCCCTGAGTTCAAGCCCTTGGACCAGCAAAAACAACCCCCCCCCCCAAAAAAAAAATCAGTTTGTGGTGGGTGTAGTAAGACTAGGAAGAGGACATGAATTTATTTGCCATTTAAGATTGGAAATTAGGGCTGGGAAGGTAGCTCAGCGGTAGAGTGCATGTCTTGCAAGCATGAGGCCCTGGGTTGGATTCCTCAGCACCACATAAACAGAAAAAGCTGGAAGTGGCGCTGTGGTTCCAGTGGTAGAGAGCTAGCCTTGAGCTGAAGAGCTGAGGGGACAGCGCCCAGACCCAGAGTTCAAGCCCCATGACTGGCAAAAAAAAAAAAAAAGATTGGCAATTAGCGGGGCGAGGTGGCTTGTGCCTGTAATCCTAGCTACTCAGGAGGCTGAGATCTGAGGATTGCAGTTCAAAGCCAGCCTGGGCAAGAAAGTCCGTGAGACTCTTATCTCCAATAAACCACTAGAAAACTGGAAGTGGCGCTGTGGCTCAAGTGGTAGAGTGCTTGCCTTGAGCTGAAGAGCTGAGGGACAACGCCCAGGCCCAGAGTTCAAGCCCCAAGACCGACAAGAAAAAAAAAAGAAAAAGATTGATAATCATTAATGAATTCCTGGACTTTTTCTTCATGAACTGAGGATGGGTGGCCTAATGCATGCTAGGCAAATACTCCTGCTGCCAGCAGTGCTGGAATAGCGTTCCAGCCTCTGATGTCCTGTTGTGCTATCCTTATAGCCACCCTGGAAGGTAGAGGATAGGGTAAATCATTGTCCCCGTTTTGCCTTTTGGAGCACCAGATTTCAGGCTGAGCCTGGTCAAGTTCACACGCAGTGACGGGGCATAGCTAGCCGCAAGTCGTGTGAGCCCCAAGCTTTTCTACTCTCTTCCCATTGGTTAGTTTGCTTTTCTTCTCTGAGCCCCAGTTTCCTTGTCTGGGTCCTCTGAGCACCCTATTTGATGATAGTGGAGTGAGAGCAGCAAGTCTAGTTGAGAGGATCTTCATCTGCGCTGCCCTCTCTACCCCTAGCTCCACTGGGGCCATGGCGGAGCGAGAAGAGCGGCGGTTTGTGGAGATCCCACGGGAGTCGGTGCGGCTCATGGCCGAGAGCACAGGCCTGGAGCTGAGCGATGAAGTAGCAGCTTTGCTTGCGGAGGATGTGTGCTACCGTCTCCGAGAGGCTACCCAGGTGAGCCCCCCTCTTTTTTTTTTTTTGTCAGTTGTGAGGCTTGAACTCTGGGCCTAGACGCTGTCCCTGCGCTCTTTAGCTCAAGGCCAGCGCTCTACCACTTGAGCCACAGCGCCACTTCTACTTTTCTGGTGGTTTATTGGAGATAAGAGTCTCATGGACTTTTTCTGCCTGGACTGACTTCAAACTGTGATCCTCAGCTCTCTGCCTCCTGAGTAGTTAGGATTACAGGCATGAGCCACCGGCACTCCACACATCTGGCCCCCCCCCCCCCGCCTTTACTCACTTCCTTCCACATTTCCTTGGTAAGTCTATGTTGGTCCCTGCCTGTGCTTCAAGGGTATGGAAGTAGTCCATGCCCTTTTCCAAGATCCCTTCAAACCTGCCGGGCTTGCCATAAGTCCAGGTCTTGCCAGGCACTTTCTCACATGCTCTTCTCAATAGCGCTGGCTTCCCTGGCCAGGTGGGTGGGATAGTCACATGCTCCACTTAGGAAACTGAGGCACAGTGGGGACATGACCCAGGAGAGGTTGTGTTAAGAAATGAGTGGGAGGGCTGGGAAGTTGGCTCAGTGGTAGAGCGCTTGCCTTGCATGCATGAGGCCCTGGGTTCCATTCCTCAGCACCACATAGCAGAAGAAAAAAAAAGCTGGAAGTGGCGCTGTGGCTCAAGTGGTAGAGCACTAGCCTTGAGCTGAAGAGCTGAGGGACAGCGCCCAGGCCCAGAGTTCAGACCCCACGACTTGACCCTCCCCCCCCCCAAAAAAAAAAAAGTGAGTGGGAATCCAAGCTTTCTGATTCTCTGTCGGACCCACTTGATTTTGGGGGTCACCACACCTGCTGTTCCTTGACCCCTGACTGTGGCTTCTGTCCTCTCAGAATAGCTCTCAGTTCATGAAGCACACCAAACGGCGCAAGCTGACAGTAGAGGACTTCAACAGGGCCCTCAGGTGGAGCAGTGTGGAGGTGAGTGCTCAGCTTGGGGCTGGCATTGTGGTGAAGAGCAAACATCCAGCAATGGCAGGCAAAGGGTTGGGTTGGGCCCAGGCTACGGGAACATGAGTTCCCAGAGTGGAGGCTCGTGGAACTCCTGAGGTTCAGGGGGCTTAGAGGTAGACTATAAACAGGTTCCTAACGAGTACGGAAGTATTTGAGCTTGTCCTTAAAGTAATCCAGGAGGACAAGAGGGCATGCTGGGTAAAAGGAGGAGCCTGAGTTAAATCAATGGGTATTAGCATAGCCTAGTATAATTGTTCCAGAGCAGTAAGTTGAGGAAGGAAGGTTATGAACAGGAGAGAATGGTAAGTTTCCAGAGTTTGGTGAGTGTGCGTGGGGAGAACTAAAACCTCAGGGGAAAATTAATTGAAGATGAGTCTCAAACTTCCCTGCCTGGGCTGGCTTTGAACCATGACCCTCAGATCTCAGCTTCTTGAGTAGCGAGGATTACAGGTGTGAGCTGCTGGTGCCCGGCTTCACACTGCTTTGTAATTCTCCCTTTCCCCAGGCTGTGTGTGGATATGGGTCCCAGGAGGTGCTTCCCATGCGCCCTGCCAGGGAGGGTGAGCTCTATTTTCCTGAAGACCGAGAGGTGAACCTGGTGGAGCTGGCACTGGCCACCAACATTCCCAAAGGCTGTGCTGAGACGGCTGTCAGAGGTGGCTGCTAGGGTCCTTCCTGGGGTGGTGACAGGGGCTGGATGGTTAGAGTGCATGGGGACAGGTGCACATGGGGTAGAATTTGGAGGGGTATGTGGTGCTGTGAGGTGATATCACCCCAGGCTGACATCTGTCCACCCTGGTTTTAGTTCATGTCTCCTACCTGGATGGCAAAGGAAACCTAGCACCTCAAGGATCAGGTAAGCCTGAGGGGGCATCGCACTCTGGGAGGATTTTGCTCCATTAGGTGTGAGCATAGGTCCTCTGTGCCTCTTCGTCTGCATTTTACCAAGGCCTGACTTATATAGGGGCTCTGAGCAGGAATTAGTCCCTGCTCAGGGATCTTAAGATAGAGCCCCTGCCTATAATCACCATCATGATGCAATGTGTTGGAGGCCAGAAGTCTAAGCTTTGTGCTAGGAGGTGTCTCACTTCCAGGGTATTTGTTTGTTTTTTGGGTCCGGTCGTGGGGCCTGAACTCTGGGCCTGGGTGCTGTCCCTCAGCTCTTCAGCTCAAGGCTAGCGCTCTACCACTTGAGCCACAGC